CGGCCGGCCGGCCGCCCACCGGGGGCTGGACGCGGGCACGAGGGCGGCCTGAGCACGGACTTCGGAGCCGCAGCTGGCCACAGTCACTCTCAGCCTGCCTAGGGAGCCCCAAACCTGAGCGGGCCACTCACCGCGTGACCCCAGTCAAGTCGCTTACTTCTTCCCAGTCTCAGTTACCACCTTTACGCAATCAGTCGCGGGCTACCAGGCTCTGCGACCCGGGGGAGATGGGTTGCTTGTTAGTCTGACCCGGCGCCCACGTTCCTCCTTCCACGGAGCCCGCCGGGGAACAGTGCCAGCCCCGGGCCCCCTGTCCGACCCTCCCTGCCGGGGCTCAGGCAGGTGCGTGCCCGCTAGACTGGCTGCTTTGTGCGCTGGAGAGGCGGGCCTAGGAACTGGAAAGTTCCCAAAGAAACCAGGGTCCTCTGGGACCGCAGTGCCCTGGGGGGGTTAAATTGTTTCTGACGGATCTGCCTCCCGACTGTGATAGGAGACTCCGCAAAGAGCAGGGTGGAGGCCACAGGCCTGCTGCTGGGGAAGCCCTCCAGAAAATTCGGGGGCGAGAGACAACACTGCGCTGGGCTGCTGACTGGAAAGACGTCCTGAGGCAGGAGCAGACCGGAAGCCCCAGGCAGCGCAGGGGCGGCGATGGCATTCCAGGAGGGGTGACCAAACAAGGGAGGAGAGGTGCTGCGCAGAGCTACTCGTTCTGACTAGGGCTCAGGAAAATGCGTGTGACAGTGGAAGCAGGGGAGCTCCAGGACAGTTTGTGGAGCACCTTTATTTTGCAGGCAGCAGAAAACTAAAGAATTCTATGAGATTGGTAGTATCAGATCTCATTTTAAATGTCCCTGGAGCATTAGTAGAGGATAAACAATTACAGTCTCAGAAACCCATGGAGGGTCGCTATGAATCAGCATTGACTGGCTGCAGAGCGAAAACCAGGAAAAAATTGGGGGTGGGGGAGACACGGCTGTCATTGCTGTTTTATATGGGTTATATCATAGTCGTGTGCTTTAATCACTTACTGGCTCAAAGCTGCTCCTGGCAGTTGAGAAGATAAGGAAGATAAAATTACCAACTTGCTGGCAGCCAGGGGAGACCAGCCTAGGTGCTCCCTGGGGTAATGGAGGGAGAGGAACTGGGTGGTCTAGCCTAGTGTTTCAGTAGAATTAATGGTAGATGGCAAGAAGAGATGCTGGCATAGAAGTCCACAAGATAACTCAGGGAGACCAGTCTCCATCCACCCATCTTCACCTTCGTGCTAAAGCTTCTTGGAGTTGCTGAGGATCATGGGCAGGGAGGATGGGGCCTGCAGGGCCAGGTTAGGATGTGGCCCTGGCACCCCCAGCCACTAGCCCACAGTCCTCAAGGTAGCCAATCCCAGTGCTCTCCTGGTTAATTTCCCTCCCCATTTCTTTCCTGGGGAGCACCCTGCCCCCAGTCTCACCCTTACCCAAGCAGCACATAGAGCAGTTTGCTTGTCCTGTGGAGGTGCTGTCACCGTCAGGAACTATGTGAGCGGGGGAACACTGAGAAGGACCAGGGTGTATCTAAAAAGATAATTAACTGATGGGCACCATGCAATGAGGTCCCAGGGCAGCCGTATCTTTCCAGAAAAGCTGGAAATACAGGTTGGTTTGTTCAATGTGAAATCTTCCTAGTTCTAAATTTGGTCACTAATTCGGATGAAGATCGAAGTCCAGCATATCTAGGGGCCCCATGCAGCTGCCCATTTGTGACCCCTTATTCTTCTGTCTCCTTCCTGGCCCCAAAGCTGGCCATTATAAGAATCTGAAAACTTAAATAATGCCCAAAGAAACAAATGAATGGGAACACAGTTCATATTTCAGAATCCCCAGTCTTAAGAAAATGAAGGCATATTTCACGTGGCTTACAACAAATTTCTGTTGCCTAAAATTCCATGTTGCAGGAAATAATAATAGCTAACTTTTGTTGAGCACTCATTGTATACTTGGCACAGTTGTGATTGCTTTAGATGTGCTTGAAAATGAGGAAACTGAAGTTCAAAGAAGTTAAGTAACTTGACCAAGGCCTCTGAGCTAGATGTGGGAGGGTTAGGAAGCAAACCCAGACAGACATCTGTTTCCAAACGCTGCAGTCTTAACTAGGGAACAAAACATCTGGCCTTTTACGTTTGTCTTCAAACTTCCTTGTGTCTGATCCCAGAGCTCACTGTAAATGCTAGTGCAAACACAATCATGGCCTCAGGTATTGGGGAGTCTGCTTCCTGCCCACAAGTTTCCAGGCCTGCAGGTCTCACGGTGCTTCTGGCTAGAAGGTGCCCTCAACCCACAGGCTAGGGTGCAGGGAGGCAGAGGTGGACAGTAAATGACGTGGTCAAGTCCCCACAGCTGGTCAGTGGCAGGAACAAACAGGCAGCTTTATCCATTCTCCCAGTCAACAAACAGCCTTTGAGCCCAGCTAAGCCTGGCACCACCTCTACAGTCAAGGCCAGATTTACAATACAGGTTTTAAGTGTAACTGCAATTAGTTGGACTAGATTTTAAACACACGGCCTAGAGCAGCAGTTCTCAACCTGTGGGTCGTGACCCCTGTGGGGGGTGGAATGACCCTTCCACAGGGGTCACCCGATTCATAATAGTAGCAAAATTACAGTTATGAAGTAGCAATGAAAATAATTTCATGGTTGGGGGTCACCACAACATGAGGAACTCTATTAAAGGGTCGCGGCATGAGGAAGGTTGAGAACCACTGTCCCAGAGAGACAGGAGGGGTTCTATAGTCCTTTATGTGCATAGGCCTTCGTTGTTCCCCAGAAGGTAGAAAGCTGATCGGATAAAGGAGAGCTAAGAGAAAAGAATTCCTTGGTTGCAAAAGGCCATAGGGGGAATTCCCTTAGGAGCACAAGACCTCAAAGTAAAGTGGGCACACAATCTCTGCTTTCTGTTCAAATTCTGCCAAACTCTACAAAAGAGCAATATGCTTCCTCTGTGTGTGTGTGTGTGTGTGTGTGTTCTTTTAAGTGGGATAAAAGGGTGGATCAGCCCCACCCTCTATCATACTCAAAAATAAATTTAAAGTGGCTTAAAGATAGTCACAGAAAATGGAATACTTGGACATTTTTAGAAGAAAGTATGTTATTACCTAGCTGCCTCACTCCACATAGTATCTGAGCAATTTTTCCATGTTGTATGTTTCCCTTTTTTTATTGCTAAGTAGTATTTCATTGCAGGCATGTGATGGATAGACCACCATTTGTTCAACCAGTCTCCTGCTCATTGGTATTCAACTGGTTTCCAACTTGGAGTCCCTTGTGAATAAAGGTGCTATGATTATTCATTATGTGAGGTTCAGCAATGTCAACTTAAGTTGAAGGAGTCCCTGGGTGGCACAAAAGGTTAAGTGTTCAACTGCTAACCAGAGTTTGGCAGTTCAAACCTACCCAGTGGCACTTCAGGAGCCAGGCCTGGTGGTCTGCCTCAGAAAGGTCACAGCCTTGGAAAATATCGAGCAGTTCTGCTCTGCACACGTGGGTCACCATGAACCAGAGTCAACTTGACAGCAACTAGCAACAAGTTGAAGCTATGCCATGACCCCAACATTCCCCCACCACCACTAGTTCAATGTGTTCAAGGAAACGCATATGTATAAAATGAGGTACGGGTAAAAAATGTCTATGGCTGGGTTGTCCATAATTATAAAGATAAAATAATTTTCATTTCTCACCACAGAAGAAGTGAGCAATAGATTGTGGTATGGTCACACACCATGGAAAAATACATACAATTAAAATAAAGCTCCATGTATTAACATGAATGCCTCACAAACAATAATTTAGTGAAGGAAAAAAAAGGTTTAGGAAAATACACACCCTGAGATGTCCTTTATATAACATCTTAAAACATACAGTACTGTCATGAAGTTCAATGCTAGCTATATGTTGTTTAGGAACCCATCT